TAATAGGGAGGGGGGGTGGGGGCAGCAAAGGAATTCGGGACTTCAAGTGAATATAGAGAAGACAGAGGTGATGAGGATACCGCACCAACACCACCACAAATAAAAACAAGCTCCAATCACCATCAACGGGGGAAACGTGAAGTAGCTAGCCTCCTTCACTTATCTAGGCCACTCTGTTTACACTACAGGTGGTGGCACAGACGACGACGTCAAAGCCAGCCACGAACGGAAACACAGCAAGATAGGTTTTCACTGATTTGAAAGCAGTGTGGAGATCTTCTGCACTGCACTCAGCATGTGGAACGAGCTCCGGATTCTCAGCACCAACGGCAAGTCAGTGCTTCTGTATGTCTCAGGGACTTGGTGCATTACGAAAGGGATTTCCAACAAACTACAGACATTCATCAACAACTGCCTACCCTCACTCGCTACTGTAGATCAGATGATCAGAAAGAATAGGGAACAAGGAACTCTGTCTTGTTGAAGAACCAACCAAGAACCTATCACCCAACAAATATGCAACGGAGGTAAGTGAAGATGGATCGGGCATACACTGAGAAGTCCGTGTGGGGACATCACGCCTCAGGCCTTCGAGTAGAACCCCCATGGGAGGCGACGAGTTGGGTGTCCGAGGTGAGGGTGACATGGAGGAGATCGTGTGAGGAGGAAATGAGAGCTTGTGGGCTGTCGTGGAGCCAGGTTCAAAAGATTTCAGAGAACAGATTGTAATGGAGACGTGCTACTGAAGCCCTATTTTCCATTAGGCACAATTATTAATGATAATTTGCTTGATGTTGTTCAGTTTACAAAAAATTAAAAGATATTATTATCGTAAACTTCAGAATCAAAATCTGACCTGATAGAGTCATTATAATTATTATAATTCCCGGCAAATATGAATGAGTTAAGAACAGAAAGTCTTTCTAGACTCTCTGTTGCTTATCATTATTATTGTATTTTTCCTATGGGTTCCTAGTGGAACATAGGGCTTCAGAAGTAAATCGCCATTGCATTCTCTTCTCTGCAGTATTTTGCACCTGACGCCACGACTGCCCACAAGCTTCCTTTCCTTACTCACATGATCTCCTCTATGTCAACCTCCCCTCAAACGCTCAACTCGTCGTTTCCCATCTGGGTTCCACTCGATGGCCTGGCCTGACGCCTAACGTCTCCGAGTGGCCTTCTCAGTATATGCACAGTCCAATACATCTCCACTTTCTTCTGTATATTTGTTGGACGATAGGTTCTTGGTTGGTATGTCGCCGATCCACAGTTCCCTGTTGCTTATTCTCTCTGGTCATCTGATTCGATTTCCAGTTTTCAGTGGGTGTCGGCAGCAGCTGTTGATGATGTATGTCTGTAGTTTGTTGGAAATGCTGTCAGTGACGCTCGAAGTTTCTGAACCATATAGATGCACTGACTTGGCTCACTTAGTGTTGAATATTCAGATATTATTCTTCTTGCTGAGTGCAGTAGATCTCCACACTGATTTCAGAATAATGAACGCCTGTCTTACTTTTCCGATCCTGACTGGCTTTGACGTCCTCATCTGTGCTTGTAGAGCCCGTGGTTGAAAGGATGCTGCCTAGGTGGGTAAAAGAGACTACTTCTCTTAGTTTTCTCCCATTGTTGGTGATTGCTGGTTGTTGTTGTTGTCGATCAGGTATCTTCATCACTTCTGTCATCTCTACGTTGACTTGAAGTTCCGTTTTCACTGCTTCTTCTGTCAACTTGTTAGTTTTCGTCTGTAGGTCTTTTAGTTCGGCTAGAAGTCACTAGTAAACAATTAGAAAATAGGGCTAGATTTATGAATGGATAAAAATAAAACAATGAGCATGGTTAGTTAATTTAATTTACACTCCCATAAGTTTTTAACATATTTAGAAATGCAAGCGTATAATAATTGATTAGCAGTTGCCATGTCGTAACCTTCACCAATATTTTGAGTTGAAAAAGCAATCCTTGACCAAATTACATGGGTTTTCCTTTTCAATTACTGACTATTCCATTCGGAAACATATATTGAAAGCAAACTGCTGATTATAAGCGCTATAGTTTAGTGTGACTGACAGAATGATGGATATTTTTTAACAGCATAAAGGCAAATTCGCTTTTATTGATTAGAATGGTTAGGTATATTGGACCAATTTAATCGACAAAAATATCAAGAAACTATTGACATTGATCCATAGGTTTTCCTTAGTAGATCGAAGTGATTCAACCACACGATAAACGTTTCGCTCATTTTAGACGAGCACATCAGTGGTGTATCCAAATCGATGCATCTCATATACTTGTATTGTTCCAACCGATGAAATCTAACTACCTAACTTGCATGGAACGTTATATTTCAAACATAACGATGGACTTGTGAGTGATTTGCAAACTGCCCAGTATATGTTGATACTTTCCTAAACTGAGTAGTTTTCCGACTGTCCATCTTAAGTTTCAAGGGAGTTTTCACTGCGGACCATTCATCTAACAAGATCATAAGGTATGGTCTCTGATATGGAAGTATCGTGAGATAAAGAAATACACTACTGGACGATATGAGCACTCTCAGAGCACTCACGCTGATCTGTAGACTTCTTTATTTTCATCGGAGTGACTGGAATAACAGATATTTGGTTGGTTTGTTTGAGGCCGTTTTCATTGGTGACGAACTCATAAATAGCAGTTGAAAAACTACTCAGCCTTAAGAAATGTCACTGTACACAATACCGTACATAAGTCATTTGCAAATTGATTGCTTAGTAAGTCAGCTCATAAATGCTATTTGATACTGAGAGCCAGAAAGTGCTTAAAAGAAGACTACCGACACTAAGTTCAGAAGTAAATTCCGTTTTGGAAAGACATTTGTTGGTAATAAAATGTCATCTTCTTCGGTATTTACGTCACAATAAACATTCCTAAGTTAAACAGTTGGAATCAAAGTTTTTGGAAATTTTATTCACAACCGAAATGACAATGAGATAATCCTTACGACAGCAGTGATAGGTGACAAAATTTCCAGTTCCCACTGGATAATCGGCTTCTTCATATGTGGTACTGATATTTATAGGTGCCAATAAATGGGACTTATTTGCTGGGGACATTCTTAGGACTACGTTATAGTGTTAATGACAACGCTCAGTCAGGTTCAGTAGCTAACGCAATCTTACAGGGGTTTCAGTTGCCCCTTGAACACCATGTGGAATTTTACAAATAATATAGATTACTTTATCATATGAAGCAATAAGTGCTTCCAGTATACTAGCATATACTGCGCATTTCAGAATGCTATTCTAATACACCATCATGCATTCCATCATTCAACTCCAATCTGCATTGGGTGAGTTCACTTATCATCGGTTATCTTGAAAGATTTTCATTTAGTAGTATACAATATTCAACTTTTGCGGGTAAGAGCGAATTAATTGGCTTCATATCGCAGAAATGTTTATTCATGAAAATTGCTTAGGCAATAACCGGAGAAGTGGTAGAATGTTTAAAAAAGTTTGTTGACTTCTGTCGACCTTGAAAGTGTTGTTTAGAAAGTTCACGAAATCTTCATTTACTTGATTTCGAATAGCACTACCCAAAAATGGAATGCAAACAAGAATAATAAACAAGTAACAATAATTGAATAATTTTCCTATCCGTAAAGGTGTATTTGTATAATCAAAACCGTTTCGTTAGTACAACTGTTTGATTGTCTGATGTATCAGGATTTTATTTAACTTTTCAGTACTGCTAGCTGTGGGCTGTTAAAGTGTAGTCCCGTCTTAGCTATTGACGCAATCGAAATTGGTTTGTGCGGTAAAATATCATTTCCCTATTGATAAGCTTTGTATCTCATTCTCATTACTTATATGGCTACTTTAAATAAAACTCAAATTGGACTTTCAACGGTTGCTCTTTTTGTAAATATGTTATCATTTTCTTAGGTATGATTTGACTCATTGTGAAAGTTTTACCTGTACCAGAGCAGTAAGCTTTAAATATAGATGTTTAAACTAATTAGCATTTGTGCGTTGATTGCGTTATTTGACTGTTTCAGTGACAAATGGCTGTAGAGTGCAAGGCTTATTCAGAAAACCAAATTCGAGAATATTTGTAAGACGATTATATGTTGATCTTAACAACTAGAGCTACTCTGTAACTGAGAATATAGTTCAGTCATTAATTAGGAGTATGATGAACGAACAGTAACTCTCCAGGAATTTACATAGCATTCGGGTAAAACCCTTGGTGACTGAAGGAACATTAAGATATGATCTGCAACTGGGTCTCGTGGCTCGGTTAATAAACACCTGGTCAGGTTCAAATGCTGTCGTGACCCAAAATTTTAATTTCACCTTTAATCACCACCCAATATTAATAATGCATACCCTGTGGAACTATGGCGATCTTAGATAGTTAAATTGATAATACTTTTATTGTTCAAGCGTAAAACTGATAGTAGCCAAAAAGCAAAGTGAATGAAAGTGTATGTAATATAAAACTTCAGAACGATATTCGGAAAAGTTGAAGAAAGAATCTTTGTTTGCTTACTGCTTTGTTGTCTAGAAGAAGCCGAATAAAGGGAACTTTATGTACCGTACAAACTTAATATCCGTTACTTCCTATTTTCCGCTGAGCAGTGAAGATCACGAGACATGAGTTACACAGTTTATGACTAGGTGAATAAGTCTTGTAGTTAAGAGTTGAACACCGACGTCTGGATACACTGACTTTTTCAACGTGTATTATTATTATTATTATCAAAAGCCATTCTGTAAACATGTTGATGAAGTGTATTCTCATGTAAATTCAAGTTGATAAATATCCGCAGTTTTTGTATCAAACAAACAAAAGGCTTAGTGATCATTCTATTGGTACCTTAGGTGCATATTACACTTTTGTCCAACTTCATCTTTATTTGCCTGTCATTTTTTTAATCTTCATGAACCTAATAAACCCCTACACTCGCACAAAGCACATATATGCTTAGTAAAAGCTTTTTAACCAATCACAATTGAGATATGTCTCAGTCTACGAACAGTACGCACTACTGATTAATTCATTTTTCATTCAAGTCAGTTGTTCACTTGTTTTTCATAAGGACAGTATAATTTGTATGACTGCAAGGTATAATACCTAAAATATTATCCATGTAGATTTTATGTATCTTACAATTTAATACACAACCTAATTAAACGATAATTATAATAATAAAATACATTGGAATACGAAATAATATGACATTTAACCTGACATGTTTCAATGCTGAAACTGACTTTACATGTGAAGGTATTTTAATGTACAGATTTAGAGCTTATGTAACACCATTAATTGCAATTTTCGGTACAACTGGAAATGTACTAGTACTGATCACATTTATTATTATGCAGTTAAAATCTCCGTGTCGATTCAATTCATATATAATCGGGATTACAATAGCACATATAATGGAGTTAATATTCAATGCATTTTTAGATGATTTTCTTGGCAGAGGATTAGCATGGCTGAGTGCATGCAATATAATTGTTAAATTAGACACTTATTCACAAATATCATGCAAATTTTTTCGATACATTCCAGAGGTTTCAGCGTTAATTTCAACAAATGTACTTGTATTATTTAGCTTTGATCGTATACTGACTGTTTATCATCCAATTAAATTTCGTGGTGATCGCCATCTTAGACCTGTTCATCTTGGTATAATAAGTATTTATATAATTGCAAATATTTTATACCTACCAACTGCTATCAATTCTGATCTTGTTACAAGTGAAGAGAATCATACAATCTGCCAATTTGTTGATCCATTACAATTCAGTGTACAATATAATTTGTACCTATCGAATATAGGAGCGACAATTATACCAACACTTGTAGCTATTATAAGTACTATAATTATTATCATTAAATTACATAACATATTCAAAGAACGAGATCGTATGTGTCAACATGGAGATCGTAATGCCAATGAATTACGTCGGATATCTGGACACTTAGCAATGACAACAATGTTTTTTATACTAAATATACCATTAATAACTGTTGTGTTATTAAGACAACATTCGGATTACAGCAATTATGGTCAATTGCATCCTAAGTATGCAAGTAGATTGAAACATCTCTCAAAGTTATTCAGTTCACTGAAATCTTTGAACTCTGCTATAGAATTTCCAACATTTTTCGTATTTCTACCATCATTTCGTTCACATTTATATGGCCTATTTTGTGGAAGACATAAACCTCATATGAAAGACGTTTTTGGCCTACAGCGTATGCGTATATCAATAAAACATGCTTTAGGACATGAAAAAATGAAGTCAGGGATAAAGTCGAAGAATGACAAATACAAATCAAACATTAAGTCAACAATAGCTGTGACGAAATGAAGGGGAGATTTATAGGTCATAAACATTTATCAAAGATTTAACATTCTCAGGATAATATCATGAACTAATTACTGGTTGATATTGGGAAACACTAGCACAGTAGATGATGATGACCTCGACCGTATAAAGGGTAAACTAACTGTTAAGTTTCTGTATTAAAGTTTATACGTATGCCATGTGATTTTTATAGCCAATGCTATTGTAAATTATAGTTGTTTGTTGTGTGAAGATTACATTTTCCGTCATTTAGTTTTTTTTATTTTCCGCAAAATTCTATGCGAAGTTCTTTCTAATTTGCCGTTGAATGATGAAGCCAACAATCAGTTGAATAGTCAACTTGTAAGACAATCAACTTGACCTACTGACCTATTGTACATTCTCTTTTCAGCTTTATGGTGAAGAATAACAACCACATATTTGTGTTAACCTATTCAGCATACTGTGTTTGATGAAATGATTGTATTTGATTAAAGAAAAACTCCTGGTGTTGAAACTTCATCAACTAATTACTCTTCAATTTAGCAAAATGCCAACCGCTGATAGTACATAGTAGCATTTTACAAACGACTGGCTAAGTAGAAATGGTGCTAAGATGTGTTTAGATTGAATATATACTGGAAACAAAATTCAACAAATGATAGTTTATTCTCATGTGCTGCATCATATAAAATAACGGAATGCTAAATAAACGCTACCATTATCCAATTTCTATTCTCACGTAAGTATATTTTGCATGACAACTATTGATTAGGTGCACTAACACGATTATGATCAGCCTAATTCTTTGTGACAAGCTACTTGATTATAGGATAAGATTAGGAATATCATGGTGACTGACGCTTTAAGTAGAACAGGATAGAGATCAACCAAAAAAAGGCCTTTGACCTTATTGATTTACATAGAGGAGGACGTAATTAGTGCAAGAAAATGAACCGATAACTGTTGGATACTGGTCGTTTTTCCCAAGATTGTACTACTGATGGAGTTGTACTGAATTTTATTTTTATTGTTATTATAGGTGATAGATTTCTCCCTATTTCATGAAGTCTTCATGCCGATTCTACTGTTAAGTATACTGACCTTTAATGTTTATCTGATACGGCTTTCCACCAGGCGGTCCAATTTTGCTATAGGTGAAGAACTTATCTAAAACTAGTGTTACCGCCACTCATAATTTTATCATTTTTATAGGTTACTGAAGAGTAAGCAGTTTCATGTTGAATAGTCCGAATTATTGATCAAACTCTATGGGCCGCTTAGCAATTTGGCCACTCAGGTAGGAGGCTCACCTCTGTGGTTGACCTTGGTGGATACTAGTCAGTTGGAGACAATCAGCAGGAAGCTTTGCACCTGGATTTCGTATCTATCGGCACTCATCACCAGGCTGTAACTGCAAAACTAGACATAATGGATATCTCTTTCAAGTCTTAAACTCATATCATCTGAATAGGTGAGTGTTAATATTACTGAGTGATGTGGGTTCTAATCTCACAAGAGACATCACTTTAATTGAGGTTGACGAAACGTCTTGCTGATGGGTACCGAAAAGCACAAAACCTAAGTGCAAGGCCTCCTATTAATCTCCCTCAACCAGCTAACATAAAATACCTTAGAAAGTACTCTGTATATGATACCTGAGATGACCCAAGAAAACAATCATTCACGGAACAGCTAATCATTGGTAGTAAGGGCGGATGGTGCAACTGATGATGTGATGTAATGAAATGGTTAGACTTTGAAACAATTATTGGTATTCCTAAACCCATCCGACTGACGCTGGGATGGATATTGGTATTTAAAATCGCAGTTCAGTTATTTAAACTGCACTATTCTTCTCAATAAAAACAAATTTATTCATAGTAGGCTAGGGAATGTTAACAAATGAAACTGAACCGAATTATATATATATATATATATATATATATATATATATATATATATATATATATATATATATATAGACATTTGCTCATTAAAAGAGGCTGGCGAAAGTGGGTCTTATATTTAAAGTAAGGAGGCTGTTCACAAAGACTGTACGGAGTGTATTCTACATCAGACTATTCTTCATGAGAACAAAAGACGTCAGAAAATAGCAAATTTAGTTCTAGCCGTAAAAAGATCAATTTCAGGATGTTTATTTTGCCAAACATTGTCAACGTACGGCACTACTGTAAATTAGACGAAACGTATGCTATCCCTTTTTTGAATGATATAAATAGAAACTTTTACATTAAAGGTTGAAATCACTTGAAGAGGTGAACATTTAGAATTTTAGCTCTAATCTAACATGCCTTTCAGTTTCATTCACACTCATTTTAGTATATGCTTTCTAGTGGAAATTACTATATTAGAAAAGGCCAGAAACCTCGAATACAATTGAATGAAACAAACGCATAAGTGTAATGCATTCCACTTATGTTTTCGGCTTTGTCTATTATTAGTTTATTGCCACAGAGTTCTAGTTTACATAAGTTTTGAACATTTAGTACTTGTTATATTCTTGACGGCTTGTATATGCATGAAAGTAGACATAAATAGCAACCTTCAGACTCCACTCTTTAAGGTCACTCACTTCCTCAGTACATAGAAAATTCTGTAAGGTAACAAAAGCTGTTTTATAAAGTCGAAATATGTGCAGAAACACAACATGATATATATACAATGGCTTTGATTATTTCTTGGCCTTCTCCAACCAATTTATATTAATCATTAATTCGTGTGCTTTTCCTCCAAACTTCCAAATAACACGACTACTTGTGGAAGGCTTCTGACATCTCTGGATTTCTATGAGGATCTGAGCAATCTGATCTCACACTATAACAGTATTCGTTAACTAGGTGTATTCCTGGTGTTTTTTGAAGGGCTGAAGGATGCATTACTAAGCAGTGAAACCAGAGCCTGGATGACTGAATTATCAGTACCAGTGCTGACTTGATGACCGGAAGTTTGTAGTCACTATTAACAACGAAAAAAAAACCATTTATAGTAAAGATGGATAGTGACTAGTAGTGGAATCCAAGCTGAGCATTTCGTCCTGTTTGGGACTCGTCAGCTGGATGTACCTGCTTCCCAGTGAGTGGTGTTTTTTCCACTGGGATTCGGACTGGGGAACGATCGCTTCGAACGCCAGGCGCTATCCACTACACCACCGAGCAACTATAACCACTTCTTGCGCGACGGGTATAGTTTCGGTGTTATTGCTTGTATTAAACCGTCGTTGATTAGACCGAATTGATCGATCTCTATTGGAATATGGGCTCCTGTGCGTATGCTTCGATATACCTGTGTAGTTCTAGTTAAAGTAAAGATGGATAGGCAGCTGACGAGCGCACCCTAGGTCCCACTGCTAGCCCCTATCCATCTTTAATATGACTCGAACTACATAGGTATATAGAGGCATCCGTACAGGAGCCCATATGCCAATAGCGGCCAATCAATTCGGTCCACCAACGACGGTATAATACAAACAATGATACTGAGAAAGGGAACCATTAATTGACAGGCATCTGTCGATTAATTGGTGTATTTCACTGAAGCTTACCGATGGAATATATCATTTCCATAGGGGATAAAAATACTGGACAACAAATGTTTCTTGCAAAATTAGTTCAATTCTACCTTCTCTTAACGACAGGGGTCTGAAATACTGAACTGGTAACGATATGACTAACTGTTTTGTAGGTTTTTTCATGAATGATGTAATATCGGAAGAATTAAACCAGCAGATGGTAGCCTAGTTACTACTTTTGTTAACAAACCTGAATGAGCCTTTAGGATGGAAAAAGAGTGATAATTGACCATAAGGATCAGATAACTTTGGACAGTGACAGCTTTATTATTATTTATTATTAGTCCCTTGGGTTCCAAATGGAACACAGGGCCTCAGTAGCACGTCTACATTACAATCTGTTCTCTGGAATCTTTTGAACCTGGCTCCACGACAGCCCACAAGCTCTCATTTCCTCCTCACACGATCTCCTCCATGTCACCCTCACCTCGGACACCCAACTCGTCGCCTCCCACGGGGGTTCTACTCGAAGGCCTGAGGCGTGATGTCCCCATTCGGCCTTCTCAGTGTGTGCCCGATCCATTTCCACTTCCCTCCAGTGCATATTTGTTGAGTGATAGGTTCTTGGTTGGTTCTTCAACAGGACAGAGTTCCTTGTTCCCTATTCTTTCTGATCATCTGATCTACAGTAGCGAGTGAGGGTAGGCAGTTGTTGATGAATGTCTGTAGTTTGTTGGAAATCCCTTTCGTAATGCACCAAGTCCCTGAGACATACAGAAGCACTGACTTGCCGTTGGTGCTGAGAATCCGGAGCTCGTTCCACATGCTGAGTGCAGTGCAGAAGATCTCCACACTGCTTTCAAATTAGTGAACACCTGTCTTGCTGTGTTTCCGTTCGTGGCTGGCTTTGACGTCGTCGTCTGTGCCGCCACCTGTAGTGTAAACAGAGCGGCCTAGATAAGTGAAGGAGGCTAGCTACTTCACGTTTCCCCCGTTGATGGTGATTGGAGCTTGTTTTTATTTGTGGTGGTGTTGGTGCGGTATCCTCATCACCTCTGTCTTCTCTGTATTCACTTGAAGTCCCGAATTCCTTTGCTGCCCCCCCCCACCCCCTATTCCATCAACTTGTTAGTTTTCGCCTGTAGATCTTCAAGTTTGTGTGGCATTAGACACAAGTCATCACTGGCGAAATCCAAATCTACTAGGATCTTTTCCTCAGTTCAGCGTATCCCACTCTTCTCGATCCCCTACAGTGTTTGCTGCATGATCCAGTCGACCACAATCAGGAATATCATGGGTGATAGTAGACAGCCTTGTCTTGTCTTACTCCTGTCTTCACTTCATCTCAGAGGCATCACTGAGCCTCCCATTGTGAATTACTTGGTATGTGGCATTTGCATATAGTTGTTGAATGAGATTGATAGAGGTTTGTGATATTCCGTAGTGTTGAAGCAACTGCCTGCCAAAATACTTGTCGGTCGACACTGTCAAAAGCCTTTTCAAAGTGGATGTAGTTGAGGTAGGGGGTTGACTGCAATTCTATACTCTGTTCTAGGATGATGCGAAGCGTTGCAATTTGGTCCACACATGATTTGTACTTGCTGAAGGTAGCCAGCCTGTTCGGGTTGTAGTTTCGAATTCAGCACATCCTTTAGTCTCTCCAGGATGATGCGGCTCAATATTTTGCTTGCTGTGGGTGGACAGGAGAGTGATTCCATGCCAGTTCTTGCAAACACTTATGTCTCCCTTCTTCGGGAATTTGACAAGGTAGCCCTTCTTCCAGTGAATGAGCAGGTACCTTTACTTCCTTGCAGACCTTCTGCAATAGTAGTGTGATGTGAGCATGTCCGCTGTTATCTCTGCATCTGTTTTCAGTGCTTCTGGTGGGATTTTATCTGCTCCTGCTGCTATCCCGCGTTTCAGTAGCTTTACGGCGGTCAGGACTTCAATCTCTGTTGAAGGATTTATGTTCACTTGTATTTCAGCTGCTGTAGGTGGTATTACTGGACGAAGTGCTGGTGGTGGTCGATTCAAGAGTTTCTTGAAGTGGTCGGCCCACTGTTTCTTTTGTTTCTCTTTTTTCGTAATTAAATTTCCATCATCACTTTTTATTTGTTTCGTCTGCGTTGATCTCTTCCCTGCCAGATAGCAACTTGTCTATTTGATACAATGTTGTCAGGTCTCAGTCTCTCCCACCTGCATCCTGTTCT